AGGCTGACCAGAAGGACTGCAGGAGCCCATGTAGCCAGGCAGAGCAGCACTTCTCACTTGCTGGACCAAGAGAGACAGTGGGTAGACAAGCCCTCTGAGGAAGGCTGTCAGCAGGACATCTCAGGCTGGAGGGACTTCCTGGGCATCTGTTCCTTCCTCAGCTAGACAGCCTAAACAAGCAGAGTGTCTGCTCCTCAGGCGGTCTGCAAGACTGAAGTTGCACAGTAATTAAATGAAAGACAAGCTAAGGTATTTTGGTGTGTAGGAGGGGAATACTGTAGATTGCAGCTGTAGAGACCAAGGTGGAAGGAGCCCTCACCCAGAGAGATGTGGGCTCCAGGACGGCACTGAGGGGACTTCCTCAGCCTCTGCCTTGCTCATGCTCGCCACTTTATGCTTGCTTGGTTCTGAAGTGGAGCCTTACTGTGTCCTCCTTTAGAAGCACTGGGGACAGGAGAAAACCTTACCCTGAGGCACATAATGTAGACATTTATTGAGCATAGACTGTGTGGGCAGCAGAGTGCCCAGGAACACTGAGATGACCACTCCCAGATGGACTAACAGGTAGATGGACTGTGTGCAAGCTCAAGAGAGGTTTAGCCCGACTGACCACAGGTTCAGGGATGGGAACTCAGCAGGAAAGGGTGACATGCCATCGGCTATATGAGGCCACCGTGGCTAGCAGTAGGCTCCCACTGCTGGAGCGAGTGGAAGAGGATGTCGCTTGTGAGCGGCGAGTTCATCTGGCATCTTTTCAGAGAGAACTCTCAGTGCAAGGAAAGGAAATGGCTATAGTAGGAGATAGGGTGCCCTCTAGTGGTCTTGCTTTTGTGGCCCGTCCCGTCATTCACTCAAACTTTTTTTATCCCTTGATATCTTTTTGAATATTTTTTAATCTTTGATGTCTTCTTGACAGTTTCTTGAGCATTTTCTACTGCATCCCGCAGTAAGAAGTACATTTTACATGGCTCCTATTCTATTTCTTTTAACGTCATAACCTACTAACTTGATTCATAACACACTAAATGAGTCATGACCCACAGTTTGAAAATCCACTGAAAAGAAAATTCTCTGCCTCTTTATTACCTTCAAGACTGCATCACCTACCCATCCAGGGTGCAGGGCCTTAGCCAGGGCCAGCGGGTGTCTGGAACCTTACTCTGTAAATCATCTACTTGCAGGTAATTAGTGTCGTCTTTCATCTCTCTGGTCAGGAGGAGGGAGGTTGAGGGAGGGAGGGAATGATAGGTTAGGACACCTTTTATCCCAAATGCAGGGTAATGGGGAGAACCAACTACAGTTCTCAGAGTTTCTCTCCTCCTACCTCATATTTTTGTCTCATTTATGGTACTTATGACTTGGACAGAGCTGAAAGCACATGTAGCAAGGCAGGCCTGAGTGACTCTGGGCCCATCTGCTCTGCCCTGGACCTCTGCGTCCCTGCTGTCCTGTAGGTGGCTGGACTAAATGGCTTCATGGGCCGCTTCTTGCACTGACATTCCATGACTCTGTCTGTCCTAGGGTGGGGGCAGGGGTCTCGAAGCCAGTGGTTGGAAGAACAACAAAAGGAGGTGTTGGGCAGGTAGGAGGTTACAGTCAGGGCTGGGGCTAACGAGAGAAGGAAGCCACAACAAGGAAAAGGAAAAAAAAAAGAAAGAAAAGGAAGCCGGCCCTTGGTGGCAGCAGGTGCTGCAGGACGTTCTTGCTACACCTTCCCCAAGACAAGCAGAGGGGGCCAGGGGCAGGGAGCTGCTGACCACAAGGAGCCCACCTCTTTCCCAGCCAGTGGGCTCTGTCAGCGTCCTTCAAAACCCACAGCCTTTTCAAACTAGCAGAACCTAGAGTCCATCTGGTTCCATCTCTTCCCATTTAGAAAAGTGAAAACCAAGGACTCAGAGGAGGAAAGGGCTCACTAGGGTCACACAGTCACAGAGCTGAAGATGGGACCTCAATGGAGTGACCCCTCCCGTGGTCCATACTGCCTCTCCTGCCCTCTGTGCTCACAGTGACATCTGGCTAGAGGGACCCTGCTGCCCAGGGCTTGTGGCACTTAGCCCCTGGAAGTGCAGAGTGTTTCTGAAGATGGGCTCTCCCTCTTGTCATGGGCTGACTTGGACTGTGTGCAAGCAGCCCCAGCCAGGCACACGGGCACTGGTGGATTTCTGATTATCTAGGCAGCCCTGGGGGTACTCTAAATGCCAGCCCCCACCTCCACCCATCAGCAGCAGAGGCACGAGCACCGGTGCCCACATGGGGCAGCCCTGCAGCACTCAGCAGCAGACAGGCCCAAGGCCCGGGAAATGAGCTGTATGACAGGAAGAGTGGCCACTGCATCTGGGGTGAATGGGCTTGCCATGCAACTGTGCAGTGTGGCCAAATGTTGGAGAACAGAGGCCCCGGTCTCCACAATGCCTGTCCTCCAGCACAGAGAGACTTTGTAAGTTGGTTTTGTCTGTGTGTGACAAATCCTGTTAGAGGTGACTGGGACCTCACTATGGATCTGCCAGCCCAGCGTCTGCCACTCACACATGCCTAAGGGTCTTCCTCCTCCAGGAATTTGTCCCTGATTCTTTCCTTGACTTTGCTCAGCACTCCCTCTGCCTTTTTCTCCTAAATTTGCACACTATGTAATAATGTATACCCCCTTGCACATTTCTTAGCGAGTACCTGTAGTCTCTGATCCTTGCAAATGGTAGAGACTGAGCTGCTGTGGTTGGTTCTGTATGGCAGGACAAGCTCAGCCTCTGCTTTCAAGGATCTCATGGACTGGGGGGGGCAAGGGGGGTAAGACCCAAAGCAGGTAAGGCCAGCATGACTGGGGCTGTGATGTGGGTGCACTGGGTGATGGGGAGGCATGAGAGGTGTTCCTGGAGTGGAGCTGCCCACCACTTCCCCCAGATTCTGGGTGTGGTGCTGTTCTGCAGGTGCACCAAGTGTTCCACAGATGTTTCTGCCACACAGTCTAGTGGCAGCCAAGACAGGCTCGGGCGGGACTCACTGAATTTTGCCCCCTTCTGTGTACACGTGGAGAGTTCCTGGCTGCCGCAGGTGGGCCTTCCCAGAGTCCTGCTGGCTGAGTGACACAGAACATGCACTCTGTAGACAATTTGCTGCCTCTCCCCGTGGGAGTATACTTCTCTGCCCCATTAATGTTAGGGCTCCTCCCTGTGGTGAGACGGGGCATCCTGCCCCCTTACAATGCCCCTGGTAACAAAATGTAAGCCACGGCACAGCCGGGGGAATCGCTGCCGGGCAGAAGATGGGCACCTCCTCAGGCAAAAGCTCTACAAATGTGGGTGTTCCCATGTGCTCTCTTTTGTATTGCTTTCTTCCAGCTGAGCTAACCAGCCAGCCCCTTGTATTTCTGATGTCCCAAATGTTAGGTGCCAAGCTCACCTGAGCTCTGGAATTCAGGGTCTGTTAGTTCTCACCAGAAAAGCTGAGAGCCCTTCCCCAGGCACGGCCACGGGCATCCCACCAGGCCCGGCAGCCCAGACAGTGAGTTTTCCAACATGAGTCATGACTCCACTCTGGGTGGGGCCTTGAATTCGGTGCCTGAGTGGATATGAAGGTAGCCAGGTCTGGATGCTTGTTGCTACCAGCTGACCTTGCATGTGCTGCTATATGTGGTGAGCCGCTGCTCTTCTAGCCAGGCTCCAGGTGTGTGTTCATGCCTCAGATGGAGAGCATTTGTGTGGCAGGGCCAGGCCCACTTAATGTGCCCAGCACAGTGCCCCTAACCCAATGCAGGCACAGGCTGACATCCCAGGAAACACTCAGCAGTAGATAAGATAGGGGGCAGGGCAAGGCTGGAGTGAATATACCTGGGAACCAGGCTGGCAAGAGCCAAATGTATGGGGGGGTTGGTATTAATGGGTGAGGGCACAGCTTGGGGCATATTGACTTTGTCCCGAAGACATGTGAGAGGAGCCCTCCAAGGCTATTGAGAAGGAAGTCGTAACATTTGGGGAAGAAGCCCTGCTGGGTGGGAGGACTTCTCTACACCTTCATAACCAGAGGCATTTTTCTTCTCTGGACCTAGGTTTCCTCTTTGGCAGAATTGGGGGATGGAGCTGGTTGGCCTCTGAGGTCCCTGAGATTGTGTAAGCCACTGGCTGAACTGGGCAAGGGGCCCAGCAGTAGAGCACTGAGCTGCAGTCAGAGTATCTGATTCTGGCTCCAGCTCTGCCTCTGAGGAACTGCCTGGGCCTGTGTCCCCATTAGTGGAGTGGAGGAACTGCACTCTGCCCATATGTTCTGAGGATCAGTAATTGTGAAAAATGTTCTATGGTCAAATAAATGTAGGAACGCTAGAGTTAAACTTTAATAGATGTCTTTATTGCAGGGCTTTTTGGAGGCTTTAACCTACCATTTCAGTACACTGTGACTTCCTAAGAGAGGAAGACAGTGTGTGCTCACCTCCCCAGCACTGGCTGATGTTCCGTGGAGCACGCTTTGGGAACTGTGGAACAGCTGTACTACTGTGGTAGTTCCCATTGCTGACTCTCTGCACAGCTTGTGGTGAATTGTGAGGGAAGGAGGCCATGTGTCTTAGGCCTGTACCCTTTGTGTTTCTGTCCCATCTCCTCCCTCTTGGCCCACACCGCTTCCTGCCCCCTTAGCTCCAGACACCTGTTTTTGTGCCCCAGAGATGGGCCAGAGCAGGCTGCTCTAGTCATGGACTGGCACTAAGAAGGCTGGAGTCATGGTGCCGGTAACTTGGCCCCATGGCTATAGCTCTGCTGACATGGGATAGGAGGGTGGGTGATCTGTATTAGTGCTCATGCCTCCCTACACCCACCAGGAAGGCATCAGGAAAATTGCCGCATCCCTGTTGTCTTCTCCCTGTCCTGCCTGCTGGGGCCTGTGTCATGGCATCTGCGATTTAAGGATACTCCGTGCATGCTGAGGTCGGCTACGTGACTCCAAGACAGTGGATCTCAGGATGTGGCACCTTATATGCTGATGGCTAAACAGAGTTCTCATTTGTGACATTTCAGGGACATATCAAACTCAGTAACACCTGAGGACATGGAAGACATGCCCGTAGGGCAGGATGCTGAGATCTGCCTGCTGAAGTCCGGAGAACTGATGTAAGTGGTGGCTGCTGAGCAGGCCTTCCCCAGGTGTGGGCTGGGGAGCACCCCCAAGGCTCTAAATGGACACCCATGAGGGCTGCATTTGTGCTTTTTTTGTTTGTTTGTTTAGGTATAATTTATATATATTAAGATTCACTTTTTATAGATACAGTGTTTGAATTTTGATAAATAATACAGTATAATCACTACTGCAATTAAGATTTAGAACAGTTCCATCACCCTGAAAAGTTCCTTGTGTCCTTTTAGAGTCATTCCTCCCCCATCCCTGTGTTCTTTTTTGAAAATAACTTTCTTTGATTTTCTTATTGTAAAAGCAATACATTTGTAGAAAATGAGGAAGATAGACATAAGCCAACCGTTTTGGTGCATAGCCTTCCAGTCTTTTTTATACACATACACACATATAATTTTTTGACATAATAAAATATCCTAAATCTTATTTTGCAGTCTTTTTAAACTTGCTATAGCATGAGTATTTTTTCATATTATCAATTTCTCCAGTGTTATGTCCAATGGCTACATAATAATTGTTGAATAGATCCAGTCATTCATTCATAGATATTTATTCATTATCTACTTTCTGCCAGATATTGTTCTAGGTGCTTAGAGCACATCAGTGAACAAAACAGACAAAGACTTCTGCCCTGGTGGAGTTTATATTCCAACAGGAGTTGACAGACAATAAACAATAAACATAAGTAAGTAAATATTATACAGTACGTTACAAGGTGGTGCTATGGGGAAAATAGTAAACAAATAGTAGGATTAGAGGAGAGGGGAATTTGTAGTCTTAAATAGAGTGGCACTGAGAAAATAAGACTTGAAGAAGGTGAAGGAGTTTCCAGGCAGATATGTAAGGCAACAGTCAGTGCAAGCAATAAACAATAAACATAAGTAAGTAAATATTATACAGTACGTTACAAGGTGGTGCTATGGGAAAAAAGTAAACAAATAGTAGGATTAGAGGAGAGGGGAATTAGTAGTCTTAAATAGAGTGGCACTGAGAAAATAAGACTTGAAGAAGGTGAAGGAGTTTCCAGGCAGATATGTAAGGCAACAGTCAGTGCAAGGGCCCTGAGACAGGATGGTGTCTGGCACGTGCAAGGAACAAGAAAAGGGCCAGTGTGGCTGAAGCAGAGGGATCGAGGGAGATGGAGTTAGAGAGGACACAGGGTCCATGTCACATAGGGCCTTGTTAGCCATTATAAAGACTTTTGCCTTTAATCTGAGGGAAATGGGACCCCCAAAATGGGGTTTGGAGCAGAAGAATGGCTTAATCTAATTTACATCTGAAAAAGGATCACTGTGGTTGCCATCTGGAGAACAGACTGTGGAGGAGCAAGGGCAGAAGTGGGGAGACCAGTTAGGAGGGACGGTAGGAATCCTGGTTCCTTGGACCAGACAGTGGCAGAGAGAGGGCAGAGACAAGGTCAGATTCTGGATCGATTTTGAAGAGAAGAGAATTTCCTGAAGGATTAGATGAGATTGTGAGAGAATAATGTATTCAACCAGTTCTCAGGTAATCCATGGACCACACTTGGACAAGCATTGTAGTGAATTATAGGGCAGACCACATGAGAAGAACTAAATAGCTAGTCCATTGACAGGCTGTCAATGGCAGAGGAGTATGAAGTGTTTGTGAGAGAATAATGTATTCAACCAGTTCTCAGGTAATCCATGGACCACACTTGGACAAGCGTTGTAGTGAATTATAGGGCAGACCACATGAGAAGAACTAAATAGCTAGTCCATTGACAGGCTGTCAATGGCAGAGGAGTATGAAGTGTCTGGTTCACCCTTTCTGGAGAGTGACTTGGCTGCAGGATGTACCAAAAGTTCATATATCCTGTAATCCCATTGACTCAGTAAGCCTATATCTGGAAATTTATTCTAAGGGAATAATGATTGGATGTGCAAAGATAAAGCTACCAGAATGTTCCTTGCATGCTATTCACTGGAGTGACAATTAGAAACAGTAAAAGAGAACTTGGGTAGTGATGAATGGGAGTTAGATTTTATCAAATTCTTTTCTGCATTAATTTCTATGGCATAAGCCTTTTCTTCCTTAGCCTGTTGATTAAGTGGATTACATTGATTTTCAAATGTTGAACCAGCCTTGCATACCTGGGATTAATCCCACCTAGCTGTGGTATATAATTCTCTTCATCTACTGCTGGATTTGACAAAATATCTGATGGATACTTTGCCAGATATGGAATTTGCAGTTACTATTTCTTTTGGCACTCGGAAAATGTGGTGCCACTTCCTTGTGGCTTCCATGGTTTTAGAGGAGAAATCCTGTCATTTGAATTGGTGTTCCCCTGTGGATAATGCATCATTTCTCTCTATCTACATTTAAGATTTTTTTCATTGTCTTTTGTTTTTAGAAATTTCATTATGATGGGTCTTGGTGTGAATTTCTTTGGTTTTTTCCTATTTGGGATATGCTCAGTTCTTGAATCTTTAGGATTATATGTTGTGTTTCACCAAATTTGAGAAGTTTTTTAGCCATCACTTCTTTCAGTACTTTTCAGATATACTCTCTTTATCCTGTCCATTTGGGACTCCGATACAAATGTTAAATCTTTTGTTATTGTCTTGCCAGGTCCCTGAGGCTCTCTGTTCTTCTTTTCTCCCTAGTCTCTTTTCTCTGTGTTTTTGGATTGAGTAATTTCTATTTTTCTCTCTTCGAGTTTAACTGTCATATCCATTCTGCTATTTAGTTCATCCAGTGGGTTTTTTAATTTTGGTTGTTGTATTTTTTAGTTCTAAAATTTCCATTTGGTTCTTTTTATTGTATCTTCTGGTTTTTAATGTGATTTTTTTTTTTAATTTTTGTTGTTTTAAGAATACTTGAAATTATTATTGAAGCATTTTTATGATGGCAGTTTTAAAAGCCTTTTCAGATAATTGCAGCATCTGATTGATGTTAATGTTGGTTCCTTTTGACTGCCTTTCCTTATTCAAGTTGTGATATTCCTGGTTCTTAGTATGGCAAGCGGTTTTTCATTATATGTAAGTGTGGGCTCAGAAATGCCAAGCTTTCATGATTTTTCTCGAGTCCTGGGGTCCCTAGCCAGCCTGCCTTTCTTTTCCTACACATGAATTATACTATGATTGTCTGCTGAATTATTTCCAGGTTTTTTGTTGCACTTAGTGGAGAAGAGCAGGGACATATTTGAAATTGTTCATAATGAAACTTTTTAAAAACTTACCTTCAAGTAAAGGGATGATAAAAAATCTCAAGATCAAGAAATAATTAGAACACACAGAATCCAAGGCAGTCCTTAAAGGTAGTATGAGATGTGTAGGTCAGCTGGACACGTGAATGAACTGCAAGCAGAATGGCAGTACCTTGACGGTACCTTGAAATTCATTTTTTTTCCTGCTCTTTCATAAGTATTGACAGCAAACTAAGGTTTGGCAAGAGAATCTGAAAACTTGTTAAAGACTGGGATTGTCTCAGAACATGGAGAATTCGTTGGTACCCTTTGGCTCACGTAAACTAGAATTTCTGGAGTTACTCAATAGAATTTACATTTGTGACATGCCTTATACACAAAAGGTTTCTTTTACTTAAGATTACATTCGAGCATAGATGGTAAACCTTGATTTGTTTTTATTAGCATCACCTTTGGAGAAACTGAGTATTATCCTTCTCACTGAATAGATGATGTCTAGAAGGGTAAAAGAGACTTAAGGTACAATCCAAATGACTAGGTGCCAGGGGAATGTTCTGAAACATAAAATTATAAAATGACCCAGCATCAATGGGGCATTCTGTCAGAGTAAGTGACTTTTTACATAATTTCCACATTATGAGAAAGACCTCTTTTCCAAAATGGATCACTACCTGCTCTCAGATTCTTGGAAATTGTAAATACTGAGCAAGGGCTTTTGATTAGAAATAAAGCTTAAATTAACGCATGGAGAAATATTGTATTGAATTCAATTCTCACAGAGGTGAGTAACTTGTATAAGAGCTATTCTTTAGAGCAATCTGGTTTTTTAATCATTGATTACTTTTCTTATTGGCATAGCTTTGGGGAGTATTTCCATCTATCTTCACAGCTTTGGAGGCAGATAGAACTCTCAGCACCACCACTTACTTGCTGTGCCGTCTTGGGCAAGTTTCCTAACCTGTCTGAGCTTTAGCTTCCTCCCCTGTGTTAAAGGAGACAGTACCAAAGGAAGTTTGGTATAGTAAAGAGGTAATGGTTTTGGATCAGACCTGTGTGAACCTGGATTGAGTTTCTTAATCTTTGAATCTTAGTTTTCTCTTTTGTAGAATGAGACCAGTCATGCCTTCCTCACTAGCTGTTGTGATAGTGCACGAAGTCATTGAGCCACTATGGGCCAGGCCCTCATTTCACAGTTGAGGAAATGAGGCTCAGAGAGAGTCAGTGACTCGTGCAAGGCCACGCCTCTCCTGAGTTGTAGCTCTGCCCTACCTGTTGCCATGCTCCTGAGCTGACCTTGTTGCCTCTGGAGTTGTACGGCACAAGAGGGGCTGCCACTCAGCATGGAAGGTGCCTCTAGCAGGAGCATCATATTTCCCACTTACCACCAGCTCATCTCCTAATGAAATCCTCACTCCAGTCAGGAGGCAGGTATGGTTGTCCCTCTTTTGCAGATGAGGAAACTGAGGCTTACAAGAGGGTAATAAGCCCTGCAGCAGGTGAGGAGAGAGTCAGGTCCCTTGGCCTCTAACCTCCCGTTCTTCACATCACACCCTGAGTCCAGAGAAACTTGCTGTCCATAACCCCTGTAAACTTCTGGAAGAGGCTTTTATTCACCTAGTTGAGAATTAGAATGAGGAACATAGTTTAGGAAGCTTCTCTCCCCAAAACCCTCACACCACTCCTGTCACCCTCGCATTATAAACAATCTGGGATATTTGCATTTCAGAAAAGTTCAGGGTGCCCATGGGGAATCTTGTAATGGGCCCCAGATTGAACTGAGGAAAGAGACTATGGAAAGGGCAGGAGGTGTGTTGCTAATAAGATGAAAGGGGGAGGCAGGGCCTCGGAAGAAGAAAGGGCGGAAAGAGGAGAGCTGAGCAGCAGGCCAGCTTCAGGAGAGCAACAGACGCTGAGGCTTCGACACTCCCTTCCTGCCATGCGGGCCACGGAGCAGCTCCACACAGGCAAGGGTGTCATCTGCATTTTCTACTGCTGTGTCCTCAGTGCCTAGCGCTGTGCCAGGTGTGTAGTAAGTGCTCAGGAAGCATGCTGGAGTGAGCTGTGCATCTCATAATTAGGCCTGTTTGTCCAGGTTTCCCAGGGCTTGTCCTCCCAAGAGCCTCCTAGGTCTCCAGGCCCCTCTGAGCCACAGATGACCTGGCCAGTAGACGCAAACACTTTGCCCAGTTGATTAGGTCCCTTTCTGCATTTTTATTTTAGGATCAAATTACCCCTAACAGTGGAAGAGATTGCCAACTTTGGGGAGGGCAACAGGGAGCTGTTTGTGCGGTCCAGTACCTACAGCCTGATCCCCATCACAGTGGCTGAGGCAGGCCTCACCATCAGCTGGGTCTTCTCCTCTGACCCCAAGAGCATCTCCTTCAGCGTGGTCTTCCGAGGAGCAGAAGACACACCACTGGATCAGTGTAAGGTAAGGCCGGTCTCCTGCCTGTGGGACCCTTACACACACATCAGGATGCTCAGACAAACCTTTCCCAGGGCAGAGCAGTGGCCATCTTGCCTTCTGCTGGGCAGGCTTTTTCTGGAATGTTCTGGGCCAGGTCATGCAGAGCAATCAAAGCACCTAAGACTTGTCCATCTTGGGGAAGGAAAGACCCAGAGGTTCAGGAGAGCTGTCTTCAAATGTCTGAAGGTCACTCCTGTGTCACACAAGTTCAGTCTGATCTTGGAATACATTGGTAGGTGAAACTTAGAGCATTACAGACATGCCACTCAGTTTAAGGATCATTTTCTAAAAGAGCTGTGCAAACAGGGATGGGTCACCCTGGAAGGTGGTGACCTCTGCCTGTGGTCATATGGTCATTGGCTTAGGGTGTTCAGCATCTCACCTGCAAAGACATCAGTCTAGACAACCCTAGTGTCACTTGGGTAGTCGAGCTTAACACCTTGGTGGCAGATACCAGTTCATAAACTCCTAAAACATTGAAGGCATGGAATGTTGACAGTGCCTGGACTATAGTTCTTAACCTTGGAGGCATACTAGAAATGCCTGGAGAGCTTCTAAAAACCCCACTCCTGGGGCCACACCCCAGACCACTAAATCAGAATCTCCAGGGGAGGGATCCAGGCATCATCTCAGCCAGTGTTGAGAACCTTGGTCTAGATCAAGAGCAGAAAGGATGGGGTGGAATCCATAGCACAAGGACAGAGGTTGGCAGGACTCCACAGGGGACTGATTGAGTAGGGGTGAGGAAGGGGGAGACCCCGCACCTATGGTCTGAATTCCTGCTGGCCTCTGCAGGGGAGGATATAGAGGGGAATCTCAGCCAGTGTTGAGAACCTTGGTCTAGATCAAGAGCAGAAAGGATGGGGTGGAATCCAGAGCACAAGGACAGAGGTTGGCAGGACTCCACAGGGGACTGATTGAGTAGGGGTGAGGAAGGGGGAGACCCCACACCTATGGTCTGAATTCCTGCTGGCCTCTGCAGGGGAGGATATAGAGGGGAAATGGAGGGAGGGGTGGTTCGGGTGGAAACACAAGCTCGGTTTGTATCTGTGAGTGGGAGGAATGGTGACGGCAGTCAGACATACTGGACTGGAGCTGAAAGTGGATCGTACGTTGTTAACATGCTTACAAAAATCTCTGTTTTTACAAGAATGGCAAGGGTCAAGATAGAGAAGAGCAGTTTGAAGTCATGTGAAAGAAGAGTTCTGTGACATCTTTGCAGTAACATCTGTTAGTCCCTCAGGCGTTTGGCCTACAAGGTGCCCTGAAGGGATGAGGAAGGCTCAGGGAAGGAGAGCCGGGCAAGGCCCAGCAGGGCACATGACGGCTCACTGCCCCGGCTCTAGCATCCGCACAGAGGAGTAGAGACCCACGTGGGTTTGCCCTCTGCCATCCTGCCCTGCTGGCCTCTGCTCCTTGTAAGCAAGTGCGTTGTCACTTCCACCCTCTTCACACTCACTCTTAAATGTAACGCCCCACCCCCTTGTGTTGGCCTTGTTGATTGGGGTCTCTGCCCTCTTTTCCTTTGGAGCTTGTGGCCAGCGCTACATCCCTGGCTTTGGAGCCCTTCCTGCCTGTGTGATTGTGAGCCTCCACCTGGAGGTGCTGGCGCTTGTGGCCCAGGCTCCTCACGTGACCCCTCCGAGAGGGGATTTAGACTCAGCACTGCTGACTGTGCCTCTGTGAAGCAGGTCTTAGTCCCAAATTCCAACTGAGGAAACAGAGATGCAGAGTGACCTAACCAGGCCACGGTCAGTCAGGCAGCAGTTTGGCCAGTGTGCTGATAGCTCGGCACTAACGAACAGTGGCGCTGCCGAGAGTGACCACAGCACCTTCGCTGCCCACCTTACCTTTCCCAGGCCTGCCCTGATTAGACACTGGTGGAGGTCTGTGGCAGGGAGGCAGGGGAGTGACAAAGTCAACTGTCCAGGCTTTGGCTGTTCCACCTGTCCACACATGATGGGCAGGAACCCGTCCCCTTGCTCAGTCACTTGCCCACCAAGTCATCATGACCCTGGGAGACCTGTGTGGTTCTACCAGGAATCAGGAACTTGGGGACTTGGTGGAGCCTTCCTCACCACTGACTTCCAGGTGGCCTTCCAGGGATTATGACTGCCACTGTCTTTCCCCATAGTGGACACCAGAGGGTGCTCATGTGCTCATCTGCCTTGTCAGGCCTACCAGCACCAGCCAGCAATGGGGTGGTGTTATCTCTGCCCGAAGTCCCCTAACAGACCTGGGCAGCCCATTTCCAGGTGCATGTCCTCAGCACCTGTCCCAAGGACTGCACACCTGCTCCCCAACCAGCCTGAGTCTTGTAGGAAACGACAGGCGCAGTGCAAGTTGCAGCACTCGGAAGTTGTGGTCATGGAGATGCAGACACAAGGAGCCGTACTGTGCACTGGCAGTCTGTTGATCACCATTTATTGAACTTTCGCTGTATACTAGGCTCTGTAGGGCCTGCTGGGGATAGAGATGAAGGGACAACATGGGATCCACCCTGGAGGAGCTCACAGTGTAATTGGTAAAAGGCAAAAGATTTATACAATTTGAAGAGAAACAAGAGCATTCACAGTGTAATTGGAGAGAGGCCCTGGTAAATAGGCACCTGTGACTCCAGGTGGGGAGTGTTGTGATGGGGTGGGTGGGTACTGGCTGCACGTGGGAAGGGTGCTTCACCCAGCCTGGGAGACGGTGGTCAGGGAAGGAAACCCAGCCTGGGAGATGGTGGTCAGGGAAGGAAACCCCCGGCTGATAGTGAAGGCTACACGGGAAGAAACCAGGAGCAGCAGTTGTGAGGCAAGGTGAGGGGGACGTGGGTCAGAGGAGAAGCATCCAAGCAGACAGAGCCACACAGCAGAAGGCCAGCCCCATCTCTGGTGGCACCTGTCAGACTCCCCAGCCTGTGTAACCTTCTCTCCAGAGCTGTTCCTCTATTAAGGTCATGGCCTCACTGAGCTTGGAGATGATGAATCTGGGGAGGCACTTGATGAAAGAAACAGTAAACCAGGGACTCAAGGCTGTTTGTGTGTAGACCACTGCTATGAAGCCTGGGCACAAATCAGAGAGCAGGACCCAGACCCTGCCCTCTCCCTGGGCAGAGGACCCATCTTTAGCTAGAGAAGCTCAGCAGCCTGCTGGCACCTCAGAGGAAGTCAGAAGAGGAACAGGATTGAGAGCAAGGACCCTTGACTTTAAAAAATAAAAAAAAAAAACAGCTTTATCGAGATATAATTCATGTGCCATGTACGTCACCCACTTAAAATGTACAATTCAGTGGATTTTAGTAGATGCAGTGAGTTGTGTAAACATTGCCACTATCTAACTTTATATTATTTCCACTTTAAAAAATAAAAAAAAAAACCAGCTTTATCGAGATATAATTCATGTGCCATGTACGTCACCCACTTAAAATGTACAATTCAGTGGATTTTAGTAGATGCACTGAGTTGTGTAAACATTGCCACTATCTAACTTTATATTATTTCCATCATCGCAGACAGAAACCTGTGCCCATTAGCAGTCACTTCCCAACCACTACCCCAGCAACCACTGACCTACTTTATGGATTTGCTGATTTCGGACATTTCATGTGAATGGAATTGTACAATATATGGACTTTTGTGACTGGCTTCTTTCACTTAGCATAGAACCCTTGCTTGGAACCGGGGCCCCACCCACCAGAGCCTATGAAGAGATCAGTAAAACCAACTTGGACTGCTTTGCAGACACATCACACAAATCAGGGTGCAGCAACCTGGGTGCTAGAAGCAGGTGGCAGATGCCCCAGAGTTAATCCAGCAGAGACCTGTCTGTCTACGGTCTACAGCACAGAGACCCCAGTCATCTTCCCATCACCTTGGCTGCCTGAGCTTTGACATCACAGCCTTGTTAGTCTCTGCTAGACTTTTTGATTTATTTATTTATTTAAAATAACAAGGAGTAAATTTTACACTTTGACCATGGGGAAAGACAGCAGCTGGAATGAACAAAAAGTCTATAGGACAAAAAGTTTTAAAGTGAAGAGTACTATATTAAAGAACACACAGTACTCTATTTTAAGCACGTTCTCTTCAGGAGACCTGTGTAATGAGCTCTTGATGTTGCTGTGTAATCAAGTTAGCATGTGTGAAGGTGTGTGGGGTGGAGTCTGGATACACAGTAAGCCTTCCTCCCAGCAGCTACTTCCTATACACGCTGACTGGAGTGACTTAGGTCAGGCTCCGAACTTTTAGGTAATGACCCACAGAAACACACCCAACCCCTCAGCCTCCCAGGACTCTTAGTCCCTGGTGGAATGAAAATATTATAGAGCATTAATGGAACTAAACGAGGTAACATGTGCAAAAGAGGCTGCCACGGGGGTACACGTAGCAGCAGGTCCTGGGTACAGGTTCTGCGTGCATCTCTGTCCCCTCCAAGCTTGGCCTGGGCCTGTCCCTCTCCCTCAGCACCAGCACCCTCCAGCCAGTGCAAATGCACTGCTGTGTCAGAAACACACTGTGCCCTCTCTCTCCCAGGCCTTTGTCATTTTCCTTTTGATTTCTCTTTGACCAACCCATGTGTTTAAGTTCATTATTTAGTTTTCAAGCATTTGGGGATTTTCCAGAGATCTGGTATTGATTTTTAATTTAAACTTGAATCCTTTTAAATTTGAGAGTTTTTTTTTTTTTTAATGGCCCTAGAATGTTCCAGTACACTTGAAAAGAATGTGTGTTCTGCTGCTGTTTGGTAGAGTATTCTATAAATGTCAATTAGGTTAGTTAGTTGATAGTGTTGTTCACGTCCTCTGTTTCCTCATTGAGTTCCTGTCCACTTATTCCATCAATTATTGAGAGAGGGGTATTGGAATTTCCAACTATAATTTGAATTTGTCTTTTTTTTTTTTGCAGTTCTACCACTTTTGCTTCATGTGTTTTGAAGCTCTGTCATTAGGGGCATAAATGTTTAAGATTATTATGTCATCTTGATGAATTGACATCTTTATCATTATGAAATTACCCCTGGTAATATTCTTCGATATAAAATCTATTTTGTTTGGTATTAATACAATCAATCCAGCTTTCTTTTGGCTAGTATGCTAGCATTTTACATATATCTTTTTATATCCTTTCACTCTTAACTTATTTATGTCTTTATATTTAAATGCATTTCTTATAGGCATGACAGGGTGGGGGTTGCTTTTGTCCAATCTGATAATCTCTGCCTTTTAATTGTTATGTCTAGACTATTTACACTTAGTGTGATTGTTAATAAGGTTAGGTTGAGTCAATCATCAGGTTATTTGTTTTCTATTTGTCCCATCTGTCTTTTGTTCCCTTTTCCTCTAAAAGTAAGCTAGGGCTGTTGTTGGGCTCACCTTGTTCCTGTCTCTCAGGGATCGCTGTCCTTCATTGCCTGATGTCCAGGGTCTTAAAAACTGTCACTTGATAAGTTTTGTCTGTTTTTTTGGTTGTTTCCTGGCAGGGTAAATCTTAGCTATTCTCTCATGCCTTTGAAGATGTTGCCCCCGCTGCCTGGAAGTCAGACCTCCCTCTAACTAGCTAAACTGTCTAAGCTCAGCATTGCCTCTTCCAGGAAGTCTTCCCTGACATTCTGCCTCCTCCTCTTCTACCCAGGGGCTTGCATAGGTACCCTGTACCACTCTCCATTCAGGACACTCTCACCCCAGCATAATTGAATGTTTTCTTGTCTGTCATCTCCGTTAAACCATAGGTTCCTTGAGGGCAGAGACTTTGTGGGAATTTACTTCACTTTGAGAACTTTGTGGCCAACGTGTAGGGTTTTGAGAAATATGTAGCTGTATTCAAGTCTCAGTTAAAAAAGTAATCACATCTTTATAACTATTTTGGATTCAGTTATTTTGTACTGGTTAAAAAATGTTTCCTAGGAAAAAATAAAAACTGAGTTTAACAAAATCATATTTCTGAAAAAGGAGCAACGTTTAATTTTGTAAAGAATAAAAGAGGTCATTTCTGGGGCAATTTACCACACTGATAACTCAGAGTTGCTAAAATGTTACCATGGTCTGTAGAGCCTCTGGTCTATACAACCATTTATGTTTAGTCAGTCCTAAATGGAAAGCTTAGGGACACTTTATGAGACAAGACCCTCTGCATGCTTGTCACTTCTGGGGAAAAAAAAAAAAAAAAAAGAAAAAACTTCATTAAAATTTTGGTTGGCTCTGTCTTATTCCTATCATATCACTAGTTTTAGAATGAGGCCTGTGTCTTAGCTAGTCAGCAGGTTGAAAACCCTGCCCTCATGGAGAAGAGATTGGCTATCCAAAGATCCCCAGCCCTGACATTATTTGGCACATACCATTTGCTCAGGTTTGGCCTCTGGCAACAAAGCTCTTGGGAAATGGCCTGAGAAAATACATGTCTCCTGGGACTAATTCTTCATTCTTAGAAAAGGCAGAGAGTAAACAGGAGACTGAGGCTCAGACTTGTAAAGATGAAAGGGTCCTGGGGCACGTGGACCAGCCAGGGCACAGCCAGGAGAGGGGACCTATGGTAGAGTCAGGTGAGAGTCCCGTGTGGAGCCATGTGTTCAGCCTGGGTGAGAGTAAGCCCAGCAGCTTCATCAAGTGCTGAAAGATTGTCATCCAGAAGGAGTACTTGGCCTGTCCTTGGAGACCCAAGCCCAACACTAGGACCAACAGGGGACAGTTGGACAGTGGATTTGGCCTAGAATAAACCCCAGCTTCCTGAAGCCATGTGGTAGAGTGTTCTGTCATTGGCTCTGGTCAAGGGACCATAAGGGTATTGACCAGTTCACGACTCTGGGTGAAATTCATACCCACAGCCTCCCCCTACCACGAGTTATCAACAAACTCAGGGTGTTTGGACGGCACTTCTGTCTGAAGCTGGGACTTCCAACAGAGCTCCCAGCCTCCCTGGGCCTCAGTCTCCTCCCCAAAAATAAATTGTCTGCGCAGAGGATCCATGGGGCCCTCTCACCTCTGTGACACCTTTTCTTTTCTGCTTTTCCTCCCAGGTCCTCATTCCCATGACCCGGTGCAATTCCCACAAAGAGAGCATCCAGGGCCAGCTCAAGGTCCGCACACCAGGCATCTATATGCTCATCTTCGACAACACCTTCTCAAGGTAGGGCCACCTCATTTGCCACATCAGATGAGTTCTACCCATCCCCCATGCCTCTCTGCCACTGTTCTTCAGAACAGAGGGGACACTAAAACGCGATTATAGCAATGGCAGTCATGAGTTAATAGTTCTTTGACTTTAGACCCCCCTTCTATGGTGTTGCAGTGTTTGTCGTAGATTATATAGCACAAGATAACACTTGCGGAGCCTCATCACGTGCCGCTGAGTTCTCTCCATGTCACTGCTGTGGGTCTGAGGACCAGAGGGTAGAGGATTCACACTCCCAGGCCGCACAGCTGGTGGTGGAGCCAGATTTGAAACAGCGGCCCAGCTTCAGAGTCTGGACTCTTACCTGGTGTGCTCTCTGCCTCTGTCTGATGTCAGTTGCCCCTGCCCAGCCCAAAGAAGCAGCTCAGGAAATACAGTGGAAGGACGACATGAATGGATGAATGAAAAAGAGGGGAACGAAAGCAGAGAGGGTAAAGCTTGACATAAACAGGCCTAAGACTGCGAGACAGAGCCCCTGGGCATGTGCTAGGAGCAGCCCGTGCTGCTCTGGGAAGCACTCTTGGATCAGCCAGCGCGGCAGGAGGGCATAGTGTGGGGGGCAGGGCCGGGGAAGGGGGTGGGAGAGAGGGCCAACAGTGACCAAGCCTCCACCATGCGCATGAGTCAAGGGCAGTTAAGGCTGTTGGTCATCTGTCCATTTCTGTGTCTTCTGGCTTCAGCATAAGCCCCTTGAAAGAGACCTGCCTGACTTGTGCCCAGCCACATCCTCTCAGCAGGGCCGTGGGCTAGTGGCTACATCCCCCAACATGGGCACTCAGCTTTTAGCAGAATAATTTGACAGGACGCTCTAGAGAAAAGCTGTGCCACCCCCTCATCACCTCCAGGCCTTAAACTCCCAGGGCTTGTGGCCAAGGGCATCACAGGAGAGGGTGGAGGATGAGCTGCCCACCTTGCCCCTCCCCTTGGGAAAATGACACAGGCCTGCAGTTAGCAGGGCTTCATGGCACGGGCCCGGCATGTCCCAAGAGCACGCCACCAGGAAGAGTGGGCATGAACCTCAGCCCCTCCTGGGTGGCAGGATGGGGAGTGGTTAGGAGAATGGATTGGGGACAACCAGGTGCAAGCTCTGCTCTTCCTGCTGCGGGCCTTAGTTGAGCCCCAGTTTCCTCCTCTGTGCAGTTAGAGTGCACATCGTTACTGCCTCACCGAACCTCACTGTGGCTTGATGGAGAGGCCCAGGAGAGCCCGTACTGCTGTGACAAGCTCTAGCCTTGGCACGTTGAGGTCATCTCAGGGGCCTACTTGAGATTCCCAAACCATGATGGCAAAACTGATTCATATGCTGAGTCGGAATGAGATCTGTGCTGGCCTCTGCCATGTGCATCGTCCCGTTTCTGCTCCATCTGCTCCCCTGTGCAGTCCCAACTGCCAGCCACTTCACAGCAGCCTGGTGAGGGGCTGGGGAGTTCCCCAACCTGAGACTGAAAGAGCGTTTCTGCACCCAGTCCCCAGGAAAGTCCATGTGATTTCTGTCCTGAGACCCCCTGACCCTTTGCAGGGGAGAGAAGTCTGCTAGACAGAGAAAATGGGGGCAAGGGGGCTTGGAAGAGCTCACTATGTGAGGTACCCAGTCCTCTGAGAAGAGGTCTCCCCGTAGGGCTTCTGCACCCACACCCAGCCAGGGTCATTGCAGTAATTGCAGAGGACCCAGGAGCATTGCCACCCCTTGGGTTTCCAGATGTCAGGGTAACACTCTCCCTTTCCATTTCTGTTTCCTCAGGTTTGTCTCCAAAAAAGTATTTTATCGCTTGACAGTTGACCGGCCTGTGATCTACGATGGAAGCGATTTCCTGTAGCTTCAAGCACCTGGATTTAAGTAGCTTTGCTTCATCCACAGGAAACACTACTCTTCCTCACCTGACACACAAAGCACTAAAAAAAAGAAAAGCAGCTGCTCCAAAGCTCCTCCACCCTGCGGCTCTGGAAGAGAGGCCCCTGGGCTGCTCCTCAGAAGCCGCGTTGCTCAGGAGCACTGTGTTCTGAACGCTACGCACTAGTCACTCTTAGCCTGTGGATTTTCAGGTTCAAGCAGCCTTTACGTTGATTAGAGACCTAGCTGTCCTCACACCCAAAGGACACTCTGCCAAGGTTTAAAAACTCAGGAGACCATCAGCCTCTCCTGGGAGCACTGTTGGTTACAGGCCTCCTGTGGAAAGTTTCACAGGCCAGAGGTGATCCCGACTTCTGCCTGTGGAAAGATGCCCTGCTCTGCTCCGCCCAGGTGACTGGGAGCCGGGTGCCCTGGGCGCACCCTGTGAGTCCTCAGTCTGTGAGTACCTCGGGTACCCCCAGGGAAAAGAGACCACAGGGCTGTCATGTGAGGGTGCCAGGGCCCCCCGAGATCCCAGCCAGCCTTCTCCTCCTGTCGTGCTCCTGTACCTTACTGCCCCAGTAAGGTCAGGGTTGCTCCACAGTTCAGCAATTTTGGAGGAGCCTGTAACCTGCACTTTCCTTTTGGCCCTCTGTCTGGGTGACTCCATCAGCAGGCAAAGCCCTACATTCAGCCAGGCCTCTCCATAGCTCAAAGCATCACCCTAAGTATCAGAATTGAAGATAATCCAGGAAACAAACCCACCATAGTGTGGGCCTGCAGTGGCTCTGTGTATGCTGCCACTAAAGCCCAAATGCTGGCCGACGTCAATGCCATGACCAAAAAGCAGAATTGTGCGCTGGCTGTAGGCTCCCTCCTCAGCTGATGGCCTGTCCCCTATATAAACAGGAGCTCCTGCTTCACCTGCAGGCGTATGTTTACTAATGATCACAGCCAGATTAGAACCACTGTCAACAACTGGGGCCTTCTTAACAAAAGTCTTTGGTAACTTAAGTACCAAAGTAACAGGGTAAACAGAGGCATACAAAGTAAACAGGGGCATAATTGATTCTTGGTCCCCACGGTTCACCTGCCAGATTCCTCAGCACCTTATTTGCCTACTTCCTGCTGCTCAGCCTGACACCCAGGAGACATCTCCACTTGAGGCAGATGGATCCTGTCTCCTTTTCCTGGACAAGAATTAAATAACGTGTTCTCCGTAGCCCTTTTCTTCCACCACAGAGAGCTCACTCTTGATGGCCTCTTTGTCCCTTGTTAACAGAGGCCAGAGTGTCTGACAAAATGGCCCACTTTGGCCAGGGAGGAGGGAAAACACTGGCCAGGTTGTCTGAGGATCTGAATGCTGGGCCCCGCCTCTCTTCCAGCTAGCCCGGGGGGCCCCATTCAAGTCACACCACCTCTCAGAGCCTCACTGTCATTCATAACCCTGGTCTGACAGGCTTTGAGGGCTTGAGAATGCGTCAAGGACTCCAAGCCAAGTTCAGCACAGACCCCAACCTCACCATGCACCAGCAGCCACAGCCTCACCACCAGCAAAGAGGACTCTTGTGGGGCCACGAGTAAGAGGAGTTACTTCTGAAATGGACTCAGACCTTTAATTTAGACAGCAGAGTTGGGCACTTCCAGTCCATCTGAGAGAGGCATGGGAAACAGTGAACAGAACCTTTCAACGAGGTTAGCCTCGAGGAAAGGTGAACATCCTGGGTTCTGTGTGCTTGGAGCAGCCTCCTCTGGCAGAAAGCCATCGGGTGCTCTGTTGTCTCCCACTGCCAAGGGCCTGACTGGGCTCAGCACTGGGACAGAAGATGGCCAGGCTCTCCAGAGCCTCTCCCGAACCTTGTGTTTGTCCTCACAGGCATGCCACATGGCCTGAGATGATTCAAGAGCAAATTATCCTACATTTTAATCCATCCACCTTCTTACAAAGGATAATTGGAAGTCAGCTTGTTCACCATAAGAAAGAAACTAACAAAAGAAAACCCAGAGCTGTCTACAATCTTATTTTGAGTGCTGAACTTTCCCAGAATGCCTTGGAGACTCTGGCCAAGCTGATGGCCTTCTGCCAGTGTCATCGCCACCTTTTGCAGCAAGAACCACCATTCACTGAGTTAGTGGTTGGGGCCTGTGAAGGACCTGGCACTTTCCAGCTGAGATCCATTCTGAATGTCATCACAGCAGGGGATCAATTGCAGCTTGAAAAACAACCTGGCTCTAGTGTGCGCCCCCTTCAAAGATGACTGCCCTTGTACAAAAAAGGCCTTTGCTGTATTCAGAGGACTGCCCAGTGCCCCAGTGGTCACTTCCTAACTCTTTGGTTTCATTAGCATATTTATTTTTTGTGCTGGATGGATATTTGTACTTCATTAGTTTGCCGTTCAAGCTCAAGTTTGCTATGCACTATGCAGCTAGAGAACATCTTAGCCTACTTAAAGTGTGGCTTTTATAAATAGCTTTATTCTTACTTTAAACAGGTTCCCAACTTTACTGAGGTTTGGGGGCTGGTATGACAGCCCCCAAAGGCAGATGACAAGTGAAGAAACCACCTGCTGAAGACGGTAGTGCAAGCGAGACTGAATTACTCTAGAATCTGCCAAGAGGGAAACATCCTTGGGATCCCAGATCACTGTTTTTTTTAAAAAAGGACAGCCCTCTTGACAGCCTAGCTCTCTGAATAACCAGTGACACTAGTGCCACTGAAGCCACTAATCAACTTCACTTGAGAAACACATCAACCTCTGTCAGACACTCTCATCCACAAACAAGGAAGCATGTTTGGGATAGAGTGTTGTCCTCCACGTCTGAGTGGACGTCGGAGAACTTCTGACTTGAGCACACTCGACTCCAGGGAGACTGGACCAAGAGCAGGCAAAGAAATTCCCAAGCAGGAATCTGGAACTGACAAACCCCACAGGGTTTGGAAAGTAGAAGTGAAAAGCCACATAATATAACTAGAAAATAAAGGAGATGGCGTTTCTGAAATTTTTCAATTGTCACCCAAGGTGGTGAAGCCATTCCAGGCCCAAATGAAAGGAAATCGCCATTTGGGGATGAAATCAGAGTCTGTGTTTTATGATATGGTTAGATGTTTGCTGATGTAATTTTATAGGAGTTTCATTTTTAAAATAACCTTAGTAATTCTACGTATGAGAATTATTGAGGCCAAGAAGCTGTCCTTGGCTCAGAGGTATTGATAAGCCTTTTGTGATGCTTAGAACCAAGGATTGTCATAGTCACAGAGACCATTGAGACAGCCATCCACGTTTACAAAGCACTTAACCAGAAAAACACTTCTTAGAGGAACCTTGGGTAAATTTTTCTCATTTCATTGCAGTTCTTCCAAGGAAACAGGGAAGACTGAGTCAATAATTCCCTTTTCCTCTTAAGAACTTTTTAAAAATAATAAAGTATATATTTAAATTTCAGGAGACATCTCTGATAGAAAGGCTTCTTAGAACCTTATGACATGTTACCCAGATACACTCTGCCTCTGTGGTACCTGCAGACATTACCTAAGCCTCAGTTGGAAGGCTTAAAAAATGTAATTGCACTTTAATTGACTAATCTCCAATTCACGTGGCCTTATGGGATGGTGGGTATGGGAACCCATTTCATTCTTACCAGCCAAAGAATTACCCAGAAGCACATCAAATACCAACACCCCAGCTGCACAGTGGGGGTGGGAAACTTTTGTATCCTAAAACATATTCCTTTATAGTGTCTGCTATGCCATTTGGAAATATTTTATTTTTTAACCTCAGGATTTAAATAAACACTATGACATTTAGAGTAGCTATGTCTTTCGTTCCTTTCAAAAGGGTAAGTCGTAAGACGTGATGAAGTTACTCAGACCTGAGTCGGAGTTGAGCTGCTCTCTTGGGAAATAGAATGTCTTCTACAGTGGCTTTTCAAAAGGGCTTGAGCCAGCAGATATCCTGAAAAGTTGCTATGTGGCCTGGCATCTGGGTACTCCCTGGTCTACTGTGAGGGTGGTGTTTAGACCTGCCTGAGCCAGTGCATCCTTCCAACCCAGCCCCCTCTGCCAGGTGAGCATCTGCCCTCAGCTCATATGTCCCCAGCTCTCCTGCGGTACCCACAGAGCTCTCTGAGCAAAGAGCAAACCTGAAACCACAATTAGTCAATTTGTGGTACTGGCAGCTAGCAGAGGAAGGAGTCAGTGCTCCCACCACAACTTAACACTGTTCTGCCAGGTCAGCAAAGGCCTGAACACAGGCCAGCGGGGCATGTCCTGATCCCGACTGGGCTTGTCAGATCGAGCTCGGGTTGTGCAGTCCACCCACATTCACCTCACCTCACCAGATGTGGGGGTGACCAGGGGCTCAAGGAACACCTCCCAGCACCTCCCTTCCTCCTCCTGCCCCCAGGTTTTCTCCTGGCCTCTTCTTTAATCATGGGAGGAAGTCACACTTTCTACAACTGTGTTTGGCTCTCGAGGGCAGGGGACTGTCCCATGCATCTTCATCTCCCTCCCCTCCCCCACCCCTACCATAGCACCAAGCAACGTGCCAGACACAGGAGGGCTTAAAAAATACTGAATCAGTGAAGACTCTGGTTAGTCCCAATGCCTTCGGTCAGCTAAAAGGTCGTTACAGTCCCATTGGCCAACCAACTCTGCCAGCAACAGAAGCTCCTGAAACTTACGTGGCAGAGAAGAGCACAGGGCAGGCCTGTGGGAGGAGATTTGGGGAAAATGGACATGAGCTGGTCACTTAGTTCTACCCCCCTGTACCTCTTATATTAAAGATGCCCTCAAATCAAGCCTCTACCTGTCTAATGACTGGATTGAAGTAATGGGAGGTTGGTTTATTCAAGTTTCCCAAACAGCACAGCAGAAGGATTTCTTTGTTAACCCACAGTCCCTCCTGAGACTTGGTGGCCACATGGGCTGGGAGCCAGAACGAGAACTGACTGGGACACACATGGATGTGTGTGCTGCATCTGGGGCTGGGATCAGGATCTGGGGCCTTCACGTCAAAGTTCCCCATCCACTTCACCCCACCCTGCTAAAACCTTGAGTAACCCAGATGACCAAAGTCTCTGTTCGAGAATTTCCAAGCCCCACATTTGATTCCAGGGTGTGTGGACTCCATGGCATGTAGGGGTGCCCGCCTCTCCCTGCCACATCTGGTGGTGGCACTGAGGATGTATAGAGTCCCCAGGTGACTCAGAAGGGCACACACCCCAAGGTCAGCCCTTTCAGTTTGAGGATGCGTGGGAAAACTCTCCTCTCGTCACCCACACACATCTGAAAAGCAAATAGATGGTGAAACCTGCCTCCGCAGATGAAAAAATGGGCTTTTTATAGGCAGCAGGGGAAAGCATAGCTGTTGTGAAAGACATTCAGAGTGGGCCAGGGTTGAGAGAAAGGTCAGCCTTTTACTTTTCCCACACCCGCTGGCTTCTGAAAAAGGATGACAAAGCCGAGAAGACGCATGGTCACCGACCTCTGGTCTTTGATGTGTATCAGCCTTCTCCCTCCCCATCCTCCAAGCCGTGTGGGAGGATGGAGACTGTGGTTTCCTCACACCTTCTGCCATGTGCGCACTGAGG